TGTGCCGTTTTGTTAGAGAATGTGTTGGTTCTCCAATTGAGGTACTTGAAAATCAACATAAGATAGGGTGGTCCAAAAATGCATGTGAAAAAGTTTAAAAATCAATATTTTTCTATCGGAAAACTCTGCTTGTTTGCAGGAGATTCCCAATAATAATACCCAATTTTTTATTTAAGCATTTTTTCATTGCAACTATTAATTTATAGGTCCGCCATAAACCCACGAAAACCCCGAAAATTTCTATGGGAGGACAAAGAAAAAATGGTTAAATAAACAATTGGGTACTATTATTCAGATCGAAAAATATTTATTTTCAAGAATTCTATAACATTTCTACGAAAAGTTGTTTTTTCTCATATAAAAATACAGGGAAAACTTTGAGCGCTTTGAGCGACCTTTAAATATGTTTTGATTTCAAAACAAAAAAGTATACCCCTAACCTTTTTTTGGTATAGAACAATCCTAGAGGGTGAGAGCATTACAATTCCGACTTTACTGTTTTTGGACCACCCTAACCTACATACATCCATAGCCAAAATAATAAAAACGCCTTATTTTGACCAGTTTTCGTTGTATTTTTTTTTTTATTACTTTTCAAAATTTGTGCAAAAATTAAAAAAATTGCAAATTTGCTCTAAATTCTCAAATTTTTAATCAGTTTTTTTATAGCCCTATAATAAAGTGTAAGTTGTAAGTTGCAAAAATCCGTTGGCGAACATACTTGTATGGCAGAAAATGCGTGAAAAAAGTTGCCAAAAATTAACGCGATTTTTTTGCAACTTAAAACTTACACTTTATCAAAATTTAATAGGGTATAAAACTGCATACTCAAAAAGAATTCTAAAAAATCATATTAAAAAGAGAATTTAGATTCGACTTTGTATAATTTTAATAATTTTAATAATATTTGCACAAAGTTTGAAATATGAATTTATATTAGATATTGCGCTGCTCTTTAATAAATAATAATAATAAATATTAAATAAACAAAAGAAATGTGAGGCGTTTCTATTATTTTGGCCATGGGTGTATTTAATCAAAATTGTTAATATAAAAAAATTAAGTTCTCACAAAATGATTAATTTGTCATAATTAGAAAGCCTATCGCCTGATCGGTTTGAGTTACTTTGTCGTGACGGTCGTCGCATGCCAGTAAACGAATATCGGCAATGTAGCTGGGGTGATATACCGTCCGATGCTGTTGTTACTTCATCTGCACGAAGTTCGTTCGAGCGTAAAAAATTCCAACATTTCTTGCGTCGCATAGTCGAACTTTATTCAGATGCTCTGCGCGATGAAGCCAACCAATCCAATCAGCAGAATTTGCGTGGCAATGCAGGTTTCGGCAATAATAATTTCAACTATAATAATAATAATGATCAATATGCCAATACGTATGGTGTAAATAACAATAATCCGTATAACGCCAATAATCCATATGACACATCGAATACTTACAATCGGAACCCTTATGATTCGTATGATGGTGGTAGCAGTGCTAACAGTGGATTTCGCAATGATCGCTTAGATTCGAGCTTCACAACAGATCGGAATTACCCAGATGGTGCGAATGAAACTTCTTTGTATGAAAAATTCCGAATATTTGAGTCACGCCGGTATGGTAAAGCAAATCTTATGTTCCAAGTGAGTTCCTCTACAATAAGAAATCCGATATTATGTTTGAGAACGTTCTAACTGCTGAAGTTCTTTGTAGGATTCCGCTCGCTCCCTTGCTCTTATTGCAGAAGATGATCAGTCGTTCAGTAAATATTTGCAAAATACTATGCAGTATATCTATGGCATCCGTGAGTGCCCGGTACCTAGTATGACTTTATGTGTCACTTCCGATCCTGAGCTTGAGAAATGCATTAAAATGAAGGTTTGTTTGTGTTAAGTACTTTTTGAAAATTTGTATTATTCACTTACGCATTTTGTAGACGGCTTTAAAAGCTCAACTCCTAAAACCAGAATTAATATGTAAAAAGGAACACTCACACATTAATTGCATGCAATGGATCCAATCGGGAAAAGCTGACATTGCAGTTTTTGACGCTGGTGATGTATATACGGGAGGCTTAAATTATGAATTGGTGCCTTTCATGTCCGAAGTGTATAATTTGGGAGAACCCGAGTATTATGTTGTAGCGGTTGCCAAAGAGGAGGATCCTGACACCGAGCTTACTTATCTCAAGGGCAAATACACTTGTCACACTGGTATTAATACCGCTGCTGGTTGGACCTACCCAATGGCCTTCCTTATATCGAACGGCTGGATTCGGCCATATGGTTGTGATTCTGTACGAGCTGCTGCCGAATATTTCACCAAATCTTGTGTGCCAGGAGCTATCAGTAATGAGTATAACACTGGAGTGCCCTATGATAGCATGTGTGACCTTTGCCACGGCACAAGTTATCGTTATTGCAGACGTGATGCATCCGAAGATTACTATGGTCATACAGGTGCGTTCCGTTGCCTTGTAGAGGGAGGTGGTCATGTGGCATTTATGAAGCACACAACCGTAATGGAGAGTACGGGTGGAAAGCGCAAAGAATGGTGGGCTAGAAATACACTCAACGACGATTTCGAATTACTCTGCACCGATGGTAGGTAACCTTAACTGGTTATGATCCGATAAAACAGTAGAGTTCCGTTTAAATTTTTTAGGTACACGAGCGGAGCTAAATGACTATAAAAGATGTAATTTGGGTAAGGTGAAAGCGAATGCAATTGTAACACGGGGTGGTGTCAACTACAATGAAACGCAAGTTAATGCATTCATTAATTTACTAACGTACGCCCAACAACTTTACGGACGCAAGAATACAGATGATTTCAGCTTCAGCATGTTCTCCTCGCCAATGGGATTTTATGATCTCATCTTCCAAGATGCAACACGTCAGCTACTTGTTATTCCACCGAACCAACGGCGCTATGACATCTACCTGGGCAGCAACTTTATGCGCGCAAGACGCATAACTGACTGTTACGCGGGCGCAGGTCAATTAGTGGTTTCATTACCGCTCTTAATGATGTTTGCAGTACTGCTAAGGCTTTGAAAGCGTTAAAGTTGCCTTACTTTTACTTATCAAATATGTCTCAGAAACCAAGTTCAGGCATTGACACCCAAACACACAAGTGTATTACATACATACATATGTAAGTCTAGAAAAATAGGGTATCTGATAGAATTATGGGTACAAATTATAAACCATTGCCGGTTTTTTACGAGAAGGTTTTTGGTAAAAGCACAATTTTTTACAAGAGAATCTCGACTTTTTTAGATACATACATAAATACATATTTTTGTCGATTAAGCAATAATTATTGTTGTTGCATTCAATATAATTCCAATAGTTTATAAGCAGAAAAGATAATTTAGTTGTGAGTGCCTTACATGTATGGTATTAAACATTCCGTCCAAATTTTACAAACGTATTGCAATATACATATATACGCAGCACTATAATTATGTGCATAGTTTTATGTAAAATTGTCCGTCCACGAAAATTTTATTTATCCATTTTAAAAACTCGAATATAGGTATTTTTACAAAAAAATTTAAGTCAAAACTTTATTGTATTAAAATAAATCAACCAGAATAAATAGTTTTAACATTAACACTATTCCTGTTTTGTTGAAATGTGGAAACGGGAAAAAACCCCTCGGAAGTTGGCCAAGTGTCTTTATTTGAATTGCAACGGTATATCGAAACAGGAAACACCCTTGCATTTAGTGTTGCATAACTATCGATAGTGGCACCATCGATGGGTTTCGATAGTTTTTTAGTCATCCATCGATAATATCGATGATTTATTAAGCTGCATTTACATGAGGCTATTCATCATTGCTCCAGAATAATTGCTCGTGTAAATGGTGATTCAAGTATCGCTTGCCTCAAAGTAGACAGCAAGTCAACTTCTGCAGGCTATTATCGCCGGTCAAAAAATCGCCTCGTGTAAAGGCTTCAGGGTGATCCGTTAAATAGAAAATGGTTACAAAAATATAATTTTATTTACACATATTAGGCGTCTTCCCTTAAACTCGTAAAAGCCTCGCAAACTTCAGTTTTGCCGGGGCCGAAGGTTTTATACTAAAATGGATGATAAAATACTGAAAATAAATGAAAAAAATAATAGGTGAATAAAATTAATAAATTTCATCCACTAACTGTATTAACATGGGTTTTCAGCTAATTCTCGCGATTTAAATTATATTTTAGCCTACATTCGAGCTGACGCGCTGGTATGAAAAATACTTCGAAACAAAAATGTATTCACAAGACCCTTTCCAACCTTTTTCCCGTAGCAGCCTCGTAAACTTACGAGTTTTAAACAGTTTAAGGCTACCAGTTTAAGGGAATCCCCTAATTATAATGTACAGATTTATAAGCTGAAAAATAAAAATTTGCATTTATTTTCAAACTAATAGTCCATTTCCATCAAGCCTTCACTGCAGTTTGGCCTATTGAAAAAAGAAGATTACAATTTGAAGGGGGAATTGTTCATGTCATAATACAAAAAGGAAGGAAGTTTCAATAAAAAAGTTTTGCCGGATAATACAATTTTTTGATGTTTCATAAATTGTGAGTATTCTCAACGGCCTTCCCAATTTGATAATATTAAAACAATAAATCAGAGTTTTTTCTCCCATGACAACGTTGCGAACAAAGCTGTATGAGTGACCTATCGCAACACCGAATTACAAATGCAAGATTTTTGTAAAAATCCCGCGCGTAAGTGTACAAGAAAAGTTTTTACAATTATATGTCGAAGCAGCGTGGACAATAAAATAACATGTATTTCGCGACTTTGAATTTGCAATGATTTTCAGCTCAAATATTATGGCAATGTCGTAATTTTTTCGCTGGAGAGTTTCCATACAAATGTAATCAGCTGTGTCGCCGATCATTGGCAAAGAAACACAGTTAATGCATCGATGTTAAAAACACTCGATACTTTCAATGAAACATCGATTTATTCGAAATATCGATGCCGATGTTGCAGCACTACTTTATAGGATTTTTGACAGCTCAATTCGTGAATCAGATGTTATTGCTATAAATTGTGTTCTCCATTTAAAAGATTTTCCAATTCGAACTGCAGTGAATCGGGTGTTTTTGCGGACGCTCTATAACATTTTTTTCTCCATTTAAAAGGTTTCCAATTCGGCTTTAATCAACTCGTATTTAATGAAGTGATTATAGATAATAAATCCTGCGGCACCCAGATTTTAGAGAGCACGATTCCTACGCCCCACCCCGAACAGCTGGAGATTGCTCACATACACAATTGTTTATAAAATCTCTCACAGTAAAATATTGTTGACAAATTGGAAATCTAGTCTTCCCGGTTTTAAACAGCCATAGTGGTAGTGTTTCCCTCTACAACTACTAAAAACTTATCTATTCAAACGCGTTTATTGTGCAGCGTTGGCAAACGACTTGAATTACTACTTTAAATAGAGTGATTTGTGTTGAAGTCTTCACAAAGATGTCCATTAACCTCCGAACTGTGTACGCGTTTGCAAGAGAAATGTATCCAAAGAAGTCTACAGCTCCAGTGCAGTACGGCACTGCTGGATTTCGTGGCAAGTAAGTTTTTGAATACATACATGGTTTTATATACATAAGTATATGGTAAAAGGCATGATTATATTATTTTATGTTTGGGGTAAATGCAGGTAGTTCGAGTAGTAAACTCTTCACTTTATTAATTTACTAATACTTCAACATGTGCCAGAAAATGTTCTTCGTAGACGGTGCTACATTTTCCTATACACGTCTATGCACATATAATACGTATGCGTAATTTTCCTCTCCCACAAATTCCCATACCCATGGCTTTTATTTATAGAATCATTCTATTGGGTATGGCATAGAGTTTAGTTATCACAACATTTTTATATTTGGAAATCCCTAATTGTGGGAGCAATTCCTCCTTATTCGTTTCTTTGCGTCATTTTTCCAAGGTGTCACGTCAAAAATGGGCTTGTTTTTACAATTTGTAAATGGGAAGGGCTTTGCTACTTAAAGGTCATAGCGCGTTCATCTGTTCATGCATATACATACATATGTACCTATGTATAAATGAAATAACACATAGTACATGTGCATATGGGTCATTCCATTGAAAAGAGGAAAACGACATAAATTTAAATATGCCCTAATTATCTATATTTCAGTAGTAACCTCTTTTTAATGACTACATTTCATTAACCTGTGGGAAAATATTAAATGAATCAAAAGAAGTTGTAATTTTTGTCTATGGAAACTTTTATTTCATGCATAATTACTTTACAGCAGTCACAAAGAAATGTCCCACCAGTCACAACTTTAAATATTTTTCAATATTTCTATGAGGATTATATAAATCTCATTTTTATTGAAATCGAAAGCATATGATTCATATTTTACAACACAAATACATCGTTCGTGAAAATTAAGTGCTTTGGCTAAAATTCATCTTTGAGTGCACAAGGGTAAAATAGAGTTAGTCGTTTAAACCACAAAACCGCGTATCAACAAAGTGCAAAACCGCGTATATGAGGTTGTATAAATTATTTTCTAGAGTGTAAAAACACTCATATTTCAAAATGGTTCTCTTTTTTATAAAGCAATCGCATATCTGGCCAGTATATTTCTGGACGAATGCATAAGGGTTGAGCCAAGAGCTTGTGTGAGCAAATCCAATTTTTGGCAGCAAATGTCAGTTAAGCGGTTTTGCAGAATGACGATACGCGCTTTTGTACTTTAAACGACGAGTTATTTTATTTTTTCAAATTGACCGACTTAAAAAAAGGAGGAGGTTATCAGTCCGCCGTTTTTTTATTTTTTTTATGTTACCACATAACTTTGGACCATGTTAACCGATTTCGATGATTCTTTTTTCATCGACGATATAGTTAAAATTCACAACTCATCACATTCTGGAGTAAAATGTCCCACTAATCGCAATGGAATGCCCCATATGTATACATAATATGTATGTACATACATATATATAAAAAATAATCGCTGTTAAACAAGAAATTATCCTTTAAGAAACTTCTTCGGTTAGTCAACCGCTTGCAAACTTGTATGCCGGTTAAGTTTTATGTCTTACATCCGATTATATTGAATTATTGAAGCAAAGAATATTGGGGCCAAGTAGACACAAACTGGGGCGTTGTGTGCAGGTGATTCACAGCTGACCGCCTTTGATACATATGTATGTATTGGATGGGTTGAATCACCTGCGGCCCATTGCAACACCCTTCTCTTTCGGTTGTAACGAGCACATATTTTGCTATGTACATTCGTGCCATTCATACATTTATTCTAATACATAAAAAAGTAGCTACATATTTTAGTATGTGCCCACTGCATTTCTTTTGTGCAAATTCCATAAAAAATACTTCAAGGCAAACAACTAAATCAGTAGATCGGGTACAACATATGCAGGAAGAGAAATCACATTTATTATGGTAATTGGCAAATGTTCATATGTACATATGTACTTATGTATATATTTTTACACATAAGTAACGAATATCTTGTAATATTGAGCTTGATCTTCGCATGCCAACACAAACTTAATATTCTTAATCTGTTCTCATTTGTCTGCTGCGCTCAATTAAAAGTGCTTCCTTATATGGGCACCTACATATTTACGTACATGCAGATCTGAACTTAGATATCTTTCACTAGCAACATACCTACGCAAATCCAAAGTAAATTTGTAAATATGTATACATACATAAATACGTACATATATGCTACATATCGATGGCTGAGTGGAAGATTGACCTAGCTCGGCAGCCGGTTCGAAAACGCTCTATCTCAGAAAACTTTCCTAGAACGCCCTATTTCAGAATTTGATTGAAAATTGCCGTATCTCAAAGTTTTATTCAAAAACGCTCTATCTCAACTGAAAATACATACATATATTGAAAATATGTTGAGATAGAGCGTTTTCGAATCGGCAGTTGAGATAAGGCGTTATTCAACCGAATTCAGAAATAGGGCGTTTTTGAAAAATTTTCTGAGATAGGGCGTTTTCGAACTGGCTGCCAAGATAGGTCGATCTTCCATTCAGCCGTCGATACATATACATATATACATATACCTAATACCTAATACCATATACCTAATACCTAATCAACTGGGTTTGATGCAGTATTTATATTTAAACAAAATTTTAATATTTAATGTGAAATGAAATAAATAATAAGTGCATCTTTATACATATTATGTATTTTGAAACTAGTTTGTGTGCAAGTAGATAACAACTACATTCATAAACGTGTGTGTATAAATATTTACTTATGTATAATTTACTAAAGGGTGTGCTTTATCAGTTAATTATCTTTGGTGTATATAAATAGAGGACAAAAAATGCTGCATAAACGCAACTGATAAGTGCCTGCAAGTGTATAAAACATTACACATCAAAATACTAGACCCTATTTTTGGTATATATGTATGTACTTATATTCATTTCTTTTGCTCCCTTCCAGAGCCGAATTCCTGGACAGTGTGATGTATCGTATGGGCGTATTGGCTACACTTCGTTCTCGCATTCGTGGTGGTGCTGTGATTGGCGTTATGGTCACAGCCTCACACAATCCAGAGCCGGATAATGGAGTCAAATTGATAGATCCAAAGGGCGAGATGCTGGAAGCCAGCTGGGAATCTATTGCTACTGATTTGGCTAATGTTGAAGACAGTGAACTTGAAGCGCATGTTGCGAAAATTATAAGTGACAATAAAATCGATGTGGGCTCATCGTCGATTGTTTTCGTCGGTATGGATAATCGCTATCATAGTCCACGTCTCTTGAAGGCAGTAGCCGATGGCGTTATTGCGCTGAAAGGTAACGTGCGTGAGTTTGGTATTGTAACTACGCCCATGCTGCACTTTTTTGTGGTCGCAGCGAATACGAGAGGAGTTTATGGGCAGCCAACCGAGGAGGGCTACTATCGAAAGCTGATCACAGCGTTTGAAACTTTGCGTGGCGAAAAGCTGGAGAATGGCAATTATCGCAACAAGCTTGTATTCGATGGTGCAAATGGCGTGGGAGCGCGTAAGATGCTGCAGTTTCTTAAACGCATGCATAATTCTCTGCAGGTGGACGTCATCAACAAAGGTGATGGGAAAATTAATGAGAATTGTGGTGCCGATTATGTAAAGGTTAAGCAAGCACTGCCCATAGGCATGCCAATTGTAGAGCCATTTACGCGCTGTGTGAGCGTGGACGGTGATGCCGATCGTGTTGTATACTTCTTCGCCGACGATGCAGATCAGTTTAGACTATTGGATGGTGATCGCATCGCCACTTTAGTGGCCGACTATCTAATGGATATGGTGAAGCGTTGCGGGCTTGATTTGAGCATGGGTTTAGTGCAAACGGCATATGCCAATGGTGGCTCGACTGATTATATTGCCAACACTCTGAAAGTACCTGTCGCATGTGTGCCCACAGGTGTAAAGCATCTGCATCATAAAGCATTGCAATACGACATTGGTGTATACTTTGAGGCGAATGGCCACGGCACTGTTATTTTCAGCGATAATGCCAAGAGTCTGATAAAGGCGGCATCCGAAACTAGCGCTGATGCGAAAACATTGTTGCAAGTTATAGATCTCATAAATGAAACTGTGGGTGACGCTATATCCGACATGTTGCTAGTCGAAACTATACTGAATTATAAGGGGTGGGACGTGAAAGATTGGCTTGCGACGTACGATGATTTACCCAATCTGCAATTAAAGATCAAAGTTCAAGATCGTAATGTGATTACAACAACCGACGCGGAACGTGTGTGCGTTACACCCGTAGGATTGCAAGAGGCCATCGACAAAGTGGTAGGCAACTATAAACGAGGTCGTGCATTTGTTAGACCTTCAGGCACGGAAGATGTAGTTCGTGTCTATGCAGAAGCAGCTACAAAAAATGTAAGTGCTTAAAATTTTAGTATGGCAATTGAAATGAAGAAATTATGCATTTACTTATTTTAGGAAACGGAAAGTCTAGCCTATGAGGTAGGGATTCTGGTGCAACAATTGGCAGGTGGCATAGGACCGGAACTCATACATCCCGGAAAGACAATAAGCGCTCACATCTAAAATAAATACATACATACCATATGGATTTCACCTATTTTTAATAAACCAACTTTTCCAGCCGATGTTTCGTCAAATCTGCCATCTTTGAAAAAAATGTTAAAATAATATTGCCACACACGATATCATGCCTAAAGGTTACTTAGATACATGCATATGCCTTCTTTATAATAAGTATGTAGTTAAACAAAAAAAAAAAACATTCATGATGCCTTTCATTTCTTTCACAACTGGTTCTTTCTTGTTGCTTATTGTAAACAACTTTATATGTACTTTATTGTTATACTTGAAAACTGCCTTGAACATCTTAAGTAGAAGAAAACTGCAATTTTATTCATATAAATTTTGAGTTGCATGTTTGTGTGTACGTTAATCGAAGTTTTTTTTATAAGAAATGTTTTTTTCTGCATATATCGCGATAACGTTAAAATCAAAATGTTGACACGCCTCCCATTACGTTGAAATAGCAATGTAAGATTTATTTATTTTAAGTATTAAAGCTCATATATAAATTAATTAAAGAGGAATGTTAAAAGTTATTTGCTTGTATTTTTGAAGCAAGGACAAAATAAAAGTTTAAAATTATACATACATATAATATAATATATTTATATGGTACATGGGTATAATAATTTACAGAAGGTAGTGTGAGCATATCGGAGATACATATATATAATATATATTATTATTATATTATGCTGTTCGTTGTTGGTTATTATTCTGCTTATATGCAAAAATGCACTACCGGAACCGGTTAATATTCTTTCATACAACAGTTTTGCGACCTCTGCTGAAGTCAGTGCATGCTGTCATCCAAAATAATCGTATTTCACAACACTGGTTTAGAGGTTAGAGTCGCCATAGAATCGTCGATGCCAATTCCGATAAGTCTAAACAAAAATTGTTGTTGTGTGGGGAATATAGCAAGCTTATACTTATATACATATTGGCTGCATTTCTTTATTCATTCTGAACGTTTGGAATAAACTTTTTTGTTTACTTATTCTTTAGGACGTTCCTGATGATATGTAAACGTATATTTCAATGGCATTCTGTTTATTCTGGTTGTGAAATGGGTTTATCCGGAATGTATAAAGAAACGCAGCCATTATGCGCGTTCCTTATCCCCCAGAAATAGTCCGAAGTAGTCAGATTTAGTCCAAAAAGCGTTCCTTAACTCGGAAATGACAGCAAAAATGAGAGAGCAACAGTCAGTGAGAGCGACTCTCATCAGTCCGAAGTAGTCAGATTTAGTCAGAAGAATTTTTTCTGGCAAAATCCTGAAAAGTGTCAAACTCAACTGAATTTAAATTAACGGAAATTAAAGAATACGCAAAAAGTGAGAATAATCTAAAAAGTAAAAGAAATGAATTGAAATTGGAAGGAGGCAAAAAATAATTGATATAGCAAGTGTTTATTGTGCTTGTGCTTGTGTGAATGTGTTTTGTACATACATTTCTGTTCTTATTTGACGTTAGTTTTGTTGTTGCCATTCTTTGGACTAAAAATTTGGTTTTTTGCGTTCCTTTACTTTTCCTGTTACTCTCTTTTAGTGAGCGCATTTTGCTTACGCTCTGGCATTTTGACACTTTTCAGATTTTAGTCCAAAAAGATAAGGAATGAACCTATTATACTTGACAGAAAAATTGAATATACAAATTTTGACGGCAGCAGCTACTATTTGCGATTACGTGAACGTTCTCTTTATCCCAATCAGCTTATACGACTGACATAGGACGTAATTTTCTTTCGTATTATTTTCGATCCGTGAACGGATGTTACAATTCGAGCCCTTTATATGACCGATCTACTATAGTTTATTAACTTCTACTCCCATCTTCAATAAACTCGATATTATCCGCTTTATCGAAGTTCGCTCATTCCTATATAAATTGCCTTGTCAGCTAAACGGGACAAAATTGGCTGATGCAATATATCTTTCCAACTATTATTTTGCTAAAAAGTGGTTCCAAGAAAAATTTCGGTATACCTTGAACGTAAGAAATATTACAATTTAAACAACCATAATGGACGCTGAAGACGTGAGTATATTTTCTTTTACATCAACATAAATGTTAGTGGTTTGACAGTGAAACGTGTAAGTTTTGCCACTTTCACACATTTTGTTGTTTTTAGGTTATGTGCATCCTAGATTTATTTTGTATTAAAAAAAATTACATATTTTAATATAGGGGTTTGATCCAACATTACTAAAGAAAAAGAAGAAGAAGAAGACCTTCGACCTAGATGCCGCACTTGGACTTGATGATGGTAGCAAGAAAGAAGAACCCAAGGAGGAGGAGCCACTGGATACAGGAGCAGCAGATTTAGAAGATAATTTGGATTTAGAAAGTTTCGGCAAAAAGAAGAAAAAGAAGAAGAAGCCTTTCAATTTAGACGAATTAGAAGGTGCTTTGCCATCTACAAAAGAAGGCGAGGAAGAGGGTAATAATGCTGCGCTGGAAGAGCCGGAAGAAGACGAGATCAATCTAGATATGGACTTTTCAATGGCAAAAAAAAAGAAGAAAAGTAAAAAGAAGGACTTGGACGAACTATTTGCTGATAAGGGAGAAGAAGACAAGGGTGAAGATAAAGAAAATGGTAAGTATTTTAATTGGCAAAAGTGAATAAGAGTGGCGACTCTTCACCCCGGAAATAATGGTCGTGGTTTTTTTCCAAATTTCAAGGAGACGCTATTCTGCACTTGTACCTTTTAATTAAATATATCTTGATTTAAGACGCATTTAAATGATTCTCTTTTAGTTGACGACAACAGTTCATCATGGGCCGGATCCGATCGTGATTATACGTATGATGAGTTACTGAAACGCGTTTTCGAGATTATACTTGATAAAAATCCAGACATGGCAGCTGGACGCAAACCGAAATTCGTAATGAGACCTCCGCAAGTGTTGCGTGTTGGTACCAAGAAAACTTCATTCGCTAATTTCATGGATATTGCAAAAACACTGCATCGTCTGCCAAAACATTTATTAGATTTCTTGTTGGCTGAGTTGGGTACCAGTGGTTCAATGGACGGAAACCAGCAGCTCATTATTAAAGGTCGTTTCCAACCAAAACAAATTGAGAACGTACTGCGTCGTTATATAAAAGAGTACGTTACCTGCCACACCTGCCGTTCTCCCGAAACTATACTGCAAAAAGATACCCGATTGTTCTTCCTGCAATGTGAATCATGTGGATCCAGATGTTCCGTAGCAAGTATTAAATCTGGTTTCCAAGCCGTTACTGGAAAGCGTGCTGCAATTCGCGCGAAAACTACATAAAATACTGTATTTTTGCTCGACCGTAGGGGTTTTTTGTTTCTTTTTCTAACGACGATTTATTTAGGTTTAACAAGTTGGGTGTATGACAGAGATCAAAGAAAAAATAGAACAAGTACGAAGTGAGGAGTAATATTTTTTATTTAAATTTTAAACATACAAACCAATTAATAATAATAAAAAAAATAGTAAACCCAACAATAAAATAATTCAAAGTTAATTCATTGAACCAAAATTTATAACCAAAACTTTATTTTTTCAATACAGAGTATTTGTTTTTGTACCAGTGGATAAGTTCGTCTTTAAAGGCTAATTCCATATTTCTATCGGTGCCCTCGTCCAAATCCCAACTGTATACAAATATGCCTATATGGCCACGAAATATGTTTGGTCTGCCAAACACAAATATTTTATTGCCTATGCAAATTCGAGATGGATCGAGCTGTTTCCTAGTTGTGTCCAACATTCGCTCTAAAGCTTCCAGAATGTCTTTTCGTTGCTTGCCTGACTTTCTAGCAGACAATACATTTTTTAAGCGTTGAACTTCGGCAATATCTTCCTGTTTTTTGCAAATAAATACTGGTAAAACCTTGGTGCAATCGTCGATTTCAAATTTATATTGACTTTGTTTATTGCTTGGTATAATTTTTCCAACAACTTTGCCGTGCAGAATAATTGTACGGAATAACAAAGCACCATCGAAAGCCTGAAAAATTGCAGGTGAAGATGTTTCCTTGCAATGCAGGACGTCGCGTAACAGCAGTGGTATACACTCCAGAGGTTTGTTATTGATCTCTGATGTTTTTAAACTGCATTTAGTAGAAAATTGCTCTTCTAAGCTTTCAATTGATTTTGCCATCTCGACACATCCCCGGAACTATTTACTAAATATTGAATTTAGGCGGGTTTCCGTACTTTTAGTAACTCGTATCCCAACCAACCATTCAAGTGCATCGCAATGACAGCTGATAATGCCTTATCTAACAAAGTTTCGACAACTATTTACTATTATCGCTTAGCTTCTCTAAACGTGTTTAAGTAAATATTTACTATTTACCCATGATGCTATCATCATAACAGGGAAATGCACTTTTTATTACAAGTACATATATCTGTATGATGTATGATTTCACAATCTGTTATAATTCTTTCGTATATATATACTTTACGCTTGGCAATGCTATTTCACTTCACTTCGTCTTTCATTCGGGTGTGTGTCAAAAAAAAACACGTAAAAAAGCATCACCAAACGCTGACGGGATAAACATTTTTGTGGTAAAAAAGCCAATTTAAAGAACTTGTGAATCGAGTTGTTTAAATACAATAGAATTCCCAGCTAAATAAACAAAAGGCCACAAAGAGTCTCATCTAAACATTTAATAGTAGACTGCTAGAAAAGCAGAATTTGCCGAGGACGCAGCCGAGTGATTGTGACAGCGACACATCTGTTTGTTCGTGCGCTTTGTCTTTGTTTACAACGCTCTGGGAATTGTGAAATTGCATTTTGTACACGATTTTATACCGACCTAGTCTTCCAGTGAGTCGATTTAATCAGACCAGTATTTATTAAATACTATCAATTTGGTATGTCCGGTGGAGCATTAATTACGTTGAAAGAAGATGCAACTGACGCTGGAGGAAGTGCCAACGGCGGAGGTGGCAATTCCAACATGGCAAGCAGTCAACAAAACTCCGGATCCGGAAATGCCAACACCGCACCCAATGCAAACGGCAGCAATGGCGGTCCTCCTGAAGGAACGCGTCAAAATAGCCTGCAGCGTATCCAACTGCGTAAACAAAAAGTCTTCAATTTGCCTGTTCCGCAGAAATTGGCGAAACTTTCCATGTACTCTGCATGTCAGAGCGAAGGCTGCCGTTGCACTGGATGGAAGACTCCACAAGAAAATCGCCACCGCGACGTAGAGTCCTCATCGTATTGTCCTGAATTTACGGAGGAATGCCGTAGCTGTAGACACGCATTACAAAATCATATCGCGCATCTCGATGGCATATCCGGTTCCCAAATGAACGATCTCCTGGGTGCCATTATAGATATGGAAAATCTGTTCATGTCGATGCAACGTGTGGAAGATGAGGATACGAAAAAAGTTTATTTATATTTATTTCGACTACTCCGTCAATGTGTTCTTACTCGTCAGCAGGCTGTTATTCGCGGACCACTGGGTGATCCTCCATTCGAGTCACCATGCATTGCTAAAGCCGTTTCCTCATTTGTCTTTTACAAATACAATCATTTAAGTCAGACTGAGTTGCAAACCATGACCGAGGTGGCAAAGACATTTCTTAATTTTTTAAACCATTACAACTTTGAACCGCCCTCTATGCGTCGCACTGGACTTACACATGAAGACGCTTCAACGTATAAAATCAACTATACACGCTGGCTTGTTTTTTGCCACGTACCTGCGTTCTGCAATTCCTTACGCCACTTTGAGACGTCGCTCGTATTTGGCCGTACTCTACTTCGAACCATCTTTAAATATATGGCCGAACAGCTGAGAAATAAATGTTCCTCGGAACGTGATCGTTTCCCAGCTGACAAACGATCGATCATAACGCAAATGCCCAAATTCTTAGATGCCCTCAAAGCCGAACTATTAAAAGATGATTCACCGATTTGGGATCAAGGATTTAGGCCATCCACTGCATTTATTATACAACAACGTAAACGTCAACAAGAAGCCAGTACGGGAGCTGGCGCAAGTAAACGAACTGGAGCAGGAGAACCTGCGCATAAAAGAGTGAAAAAGGAAAGCACTGACCGTGCCAGTGGGTAAGTTCTAGGCAGATTTTGGTTCACGTAATTCAGGAAATAGCTTTAATATTGAAATCAAATTATTTATATCTGTATAGACAATAGAAATCCATTTTAAATGAGCAAAAATTCACGCTAATGAGTATAGATGAAGTTGTTTTGTTATATTGAATTGGTTTTTTATGTTTAAACTTTACACAAATATAAGTACATACTTACATATGTATGTACATACATACATTCATAAACATATGAAAAGTGTGAGAACGCAACTTGCAGGTGTGTGACCTTACAAGCTATTTCACAACGATTACTTGCATATAAATCGAAGAAAATTTGTATATATAATACCTATACCTATTAAGCATATAAAAAGTTCAGGAATAAAATACTTCTTAGGCGTAATTCGAATCGACTACGAAGGGTTATAAGTGAATGCATTTTTTGAGTTTTCTTTGAGAATAATATACTTTTTAAAATTAATCAAAAAAATAATTGAAATTTGTTATGAGACATTGATGACGTCGACAACTAACGAAGTTATTTATTGTTTTTATTTTCATGCGGGAGGGAAGAAACCGGTTTTTATTTATTAAAATAGAGCTTCTTTTAGTATTTTGTTTTCAATCGCTGACACTGCAATGTTGGGAGCTTGGGGATGAAAATCGTCGCCTGGGTAAAAGATTGTCGTATGTTGATTTCGGCAGGTTGTGGAAAATCGCGATTAAAGTTTGGAATGCAATTTCTCAAAAACGCGAAGATAGATATTCTCCAAAGTCTCTGAAAATGTTACTAGTTCACAAAATTCTTAAATTATTTAATTTTTAATGTTTAATGTTAATTAGCTTTGAGCAGCCACTTTGTATGAAATACGACAAAATGTGATCAAAATTTCTACTAAATTAACGACACTTTTTACTCGATATCTCGGAAACTAAAGGAGATATCCAAAAATGGAGATCGTCATCTTTAAGATATTGATTAATTTAATATGGCTGCATAACTAACTAAATTTTTACTAAATTATAGAAAAAATTTTAGTCAATATCTCGGAGACTAAAGGACATATCTGAAAACTGATAACACCAATCGAAAGACCTTATAACAAAATATATAACTGCATCTATAACTAAAAATCGTCAAAATTGCGCTTACGACTATCTTTTACCCAGGCGACGAAATGTAAAACATACTTTTAGGCTAATTTTCATTTATTTTCATACTGTGATCATTTGCCAAAACCACTTCCATACACGACTCATTCAGTTTTTCTGGAAAGCACTAAATCGTTGAGATACCATACAATATTTTAACTATGTATGTATGTTAATAATATGTTCCATCAATATCAAACCTTATGAGATATTTTGTGGAGGATAATTTTTCAGTTTTTATTAGTTATATTGTTAATATATGTAGGTGAAAATAAAAATAGCATGAAGACATTTATTAATATTTTCAGCGATTCTCACTTTGAAGATCTGTCCGATGAAACCGTCGTGCGTGCTTTAAAAGCTATATCGGAATCAAAAGCGATCAATAAATCGGAAATCCTATTTCCGGTTAATGTTTCTCGCGACGAGAACGTAAAAGCAGAAGAACAACAACGTGCAATCGAGTTCCATGTAGTCGGCAATTCTTTGACAAAGCAAGTCGATAAGCAAACAATCTTTTGGCTTATTGGTTTGCAGGCAGTATTTGCATATCAACTGCCTGAAATGCCGCGCGAATACATAAGTCAATTGGTTTTCGACACTAAGCATAAAACCTTGGCACTCATAAAGGAGAATCAACCGATTGGTGGCATTTGTTTCCGTCCGTTTTCTAGTCAGGGCTTTACAGAAATTGTTTTTTGCGCCGTCACTATGTCCGAACAAGTCAAAGGCTATGGCACACATTTGATGAATCATCTAAAGGATTACAGCATCAAACATGGCATACGTCATTTGCTGACTTATGCTGACTGTGATGCTATTGGCTATTTTAAGAAACAAGGTTTCTCCAAGGATATCAAATTAGCGCGCCCTGTATATGCTGGTTTTATCAAGGAGTATGACGGTGCCACGCTAATGCATTGCGAACTGCATCCGAGTATCGTGAACACGCAATTTATATCAGGTAATTTTATTTGTTGTGTTTTTTTTTTTTAATTTTACATTTCCATTTTCTACAAAATATGGTAAAATTCATTTTAGTTATTCGCAAACAAAGCGAAATTTTAAAGGAACTTATTGCACAACGGCACAATGAGGTACAGAAAGTACGCCCCGGTTTGACCTGTTTCAAGGAAGGACTACGTTCCATACCCGTTGAATCGATACCAGGATTGCG